AAGTGTTTGGCAGGAAAGAACACGCTACACAGTATTTTCAACCACACTCGAGCCACCTAATTGAAATTAGAAAAATGGAGGGTGTTATGCCTACTTGTTTCATTACTCCTTTCCCACCTAGAATTAGACTCAACCACACACAAAGAATGTCAGATATCCCTATATGGAGGTTTATACTTCTACTCGTTAAAAATGTCAGCATCACATTGTGGGGTCCCCTACACCTCATTCAGAACACGTGATGAAAATGTCAGATCTTTCCCCCTCACATTCATAATATTATACTTAGTTTGAGTCAACCAATTTCCATAAAATTCATGCACCAAAAGGTAAATTACAATCTCCGAGATTATAAAACATAAAATGCAACACCAAAACATTCGTAGTTCTATAAATTTTTGGAAATTTAGACTGTAGCATTAAATCATTGACATATTCATCGCCCATGTACTTCTATTCCCATTGACATTCAAACCAATCCCAGCTATATCAGTCCACCGGCTTCTTAAAAAGATTTTGTACCAGTTCTCGGCCACTAGTGGACCCCGAAGTTTCCCCCTTCCTACTCCTCTTTGAAAGAGCCACATTCTTTACTTTGGGATCCATTTAAATATGTTAAACAAAGAAAAGTGAGAAGTTGGTGGGGGGGTCGGATGGAGGAGTGGAGAAATTTGGGAACATAGAAGAAAAGGAGTTGTGAGAAGTGGTGGTTGGGATTTAATGGGTGGGTTAATGATGGTTAATGGGGGAAAGGGAAGAGTAGGGGAAGAAGAATGAACACTTTTCCCAAGAGTGATTTGTATAGTAAAATTGCGCTGGATCTTTTAACTATTTGGTCAGTCTATTTTGGATCCTTAATCTGTACTCCTCAGTAAGTGCTAAAGTTTCTTACTCTGTAGGCATCCTTTTGCTTGCCACAATGTCCTTCACATAATTAGCATACTTTGAGATACCCTGCAAAATATCAACCAAAGGTAGATTAATGTGAACCTGTTTCAGAAGAGAGAGAAAGTTACAGGTTCATTCATCTTAATTCTTCTTATTTAGCCTTTGTGGAAACGGACGTGGTAACTTCTTTTGAGGTGTGAGTGCCTCACCATTAGAGCTTTTTACTCCCTCTTCCACTTTTTTCTATGGTTTTTGCCTAAGAATCTCCCTTCTTTGGACCTGGATCCTCTAATTGCAGCCCACTTCTCGTACTCCCCTCATGCAGTTGCTTTGGGTTAGGCCTAGTATCACCAGGCATCCCACCTTGGGGACGTAAGTTCAAAGAATTTGCCACTTGCGCAACTTGTTTCTCTAAACTCAATTGGGACATGTGGATGTTCCTGATGTTCTCATCCTGCTTATCTAGTCTAGCATTTAATTTGGTCCTTAATTCAAACATGAGCTTTTAAAAATAATCTTTAATGGTCATCCCACCTTTGGGTACACTTTGTTTAGGATTTTGGTATTATGGCCCAGCTCTTTCGGTACGGTATTGAGCGAAATCTTGCTCCACCCGGGTTCAAACCTTAGTGGAAAAATGATTTATTTGATTTATTGTATTTAGTGAATTAGCTAAATTAATTAATATTTAATTTGCTGATTTAATTAAAGGAAAACCACATTTTTGATAAAATAATAATAATAATAATAATAGTAATAGTAATAATAATAATAATAATAATAATATAATAATAATAGTAATAATAGTAATAATAATAATAATAATAATAGTAATAATAATAGTAATAATAACAATAGTAATAATAATAATAATAATAATGATAATAATAATAGTAATAATAATAATAATAGTAATAATAATAGTAATAATAATAATAATAATAATAATAATAATAATAATAGTAATAATAATAATAATAATAGTAATAATAATAATAAAAATAGTAATAATAATAATAAAAATAATAATAATAATAATAGTAATAATAATAATGATAATAATAATAATAATAATGATAATAATAATAGTAATAATAATAATAATAATAGTAATAATAATAGTAATAATAATAATAATAATAATAGTAATAATAATAATAATAATAATAGTAATAATAATAATAATAATAATAATAATAATAATAATAATAATAATATTAATAATAAAAATAATAA